TCAACATAACAGGCTGCTCAATATGATTGTTTACATTACATCAACATAACAGGCAGTACGATTGTTTACATTACATCCACATAACAGGCTGCTCAATATGATTGTTTACATTACATCAACATAACAGGCAGTACGATTGTTTACATTACATCAACATAAAAGACTTCTCAATATGATTGTTTACATTACATCAACATAACAGGCAGTACGATTGTTTACATTACATCAACATAAAAGGCTGCTCAATATGATCGTTTACATTACATCAGCATAACAGGCTGCTCAATACGATCGTTTACATTACATCAGCATAACAGGCTGCTTAATATGATTGTTTACATTACATCCACATAACAGGCTGCTCAATACGATCGTTTACATTACATCAACATAACAGGCAGTACGATTGTTTACATTACATCAACATAACAGGCAGTACGATCGTTTACATTACATCAACATAAAAGGCTGCTCAATATGATTCTTTACATTACATCAACATAACAGGCAGTACGATAGTTTACATTACATCAACATAACAGGCTGCTCAATATGATCGTTTACATTACATCAACATAACAGGCTGCTCAATATGATTCTTTACATTACATCAACATAAAAGGCTGCTCAATATGATTCTTTACATCACTGGGAATATGAAGCTTTTCTTTCCAGCAAGTTCAATGTGTGAGTACCCTAATTTGAGTTATTAGGCAACACGTCCTCCCCAGTTATACAGTTTTCATATTAAGCTGAGGACAAGTGGGGCTCCCGTTGTGTTTATGATAAAATTTCCTCATCGATGTTCGTAGTATCTGGAGGAGACAGTTGTTTGTTCAGGAGGGCAAAGATTCTAGTGATCCAGGGATTAGAATGAAGAATAGTAATAACTAATACTGTACTTGCCCTTAGCACTAATACTGTACTTGCCCTTAGCCTCTCTGAACACCATTTGTTGCTCTCATACTTTTGCCCTGTGATGTACATGTATATAATTATTGTTTACGAGTCAACCTATTAAACATAGCTTGTTAATTTTCAAATCAATCTTACAGGGACTAGAAGCTGACCATTTGCGTGCACAATCTTTGGGTCGTGATGGTGAAGGAAATGAGTATTGGTATTTTTATGGTACCAGGTTGTACAAAGAAACAAAAACTTTGAAGAACAAATCACAGTAAGTATTAGGTAATGTGTTTCTGGTAGAAGAACGAATCACAGTAAGTATTAAGTAATGTGTTTCTGGTAGAAGAACGAATCACAGTAAGTATTAAGTAATGTGTTTCTGGTAGAAGAACAAATCACAGTAAGTATTAAGTAATGTGTTTCTGGTAGAAGAACAAATCACAGTAAGTATTAAGTAATGTGTTTCTGGTAGAAGAACAAATCACAGTAAGTATTAAGTAATGTGTTTCTGGTAAAATAGTTGCTGCTCCTCGTGTAGTTTGTCTCTAATCTACATGTTTTTACACCAAATGTATGAAATTTTAAAAATGGGGAACTGTTTAAAAAATGAAGTTAATATAAAAGTTATGTACAAGTAGCAAATATATCACGATGTTTGATTAAAACTTTAGAAAAATTAAAATGTAAACGGTAAGGTAGAGAAAACTGATTACTAAAATACAATTTATTAATATATAATTCAAATATTAAAAGAAAAATCTTTAGAGTTATAAATAAGTACTTTTTACATTAATTTTGTTAAAAATTTACATAGTAGGAAAAAAATGTTTTGATTTAATGAACTTAAGTACTCGATCGTAACTAAGCTGCATTCATAAAAGAAAAGGCATAATATTTGAAATTATTTAAACTTTATAAGGCAAATTGAACTACACTTAATATTTAGTATTATATAATGTTTTGAACACACAATTTCTACAATTTTTTTCAGAGTAAGTTGTATATATATATATTTTAACCAGTAACAGTTTGCTGTTGGATACTTTATTTTCGCTAACAATAGTGGTAGTTTATAGATTCTTTATTTCTCCAGAAAAGGTAAAGGTTTCCAGGAGATCACCATTGGTACCAAACATAGAGCTACGAAAAAACAAAATGAAATAGGGACAGAAAGGTGAGGGTTACAAAGTATCATAGTTGTTGAACCATTGTTTTTACAGAAATAATGTAAATACTTACACTTTTGATGTATAATAATTGATCTGTTTATACTTGGTAGAATGACAGTAAAATAGTTGATCTGTTTATACTTGTAGAATGATAGTAAAATAATTGATCTGTTTATACTTGGTAGACTGGCAATAAAATAATTGATTTGTTTATACTTGTT